TCCTCCTCCTCCTCCCTCCTCCTCCTCCTTCCTCCTCCTCCTCCTCCTCCTCCTCCTCCTCCTCCTCCTCCTCCTCCTCCTCCTCCTGCAGTGAGTGAATGCAGTGGCACGATTGAATGCAGTGGACTGCAGTGTCACTAGCAATTCCTGAAGCGTCTGGCTATTCAAAATGTGGCCCGGGAATGGAGTTCTGGGAACTCGAAGACCAGGAAGTGGCCTACAGTTGGCTCCGGGCATCCAGAATGTGGCCCGGGAATGGAGTTCTGGGAACTCGAAGAGCACGAAGTGTGTGACTGTTGCATCCGGGCATCCAAAATGTAGCCCGGGAATGGCGTTCTGGGATGTCGAAGAGCACGAAGTGTGTGACTGTTGCATCCGGTTATTCTAAATGTGGCCCGGGAATGGCGTTCTGGGATCTCGAAGAGCACGAAGTGTGTGACTGTTGCATCCGGGTATTCAGAATGTGGCCTGGGAATGGAGTTCTGGGAAGTCGAAGAGCACGAAGTGTGTGACTGTTGGTGAAAAACGAGCCCGGCACCCTGCCGCCCGGCAACTCCCCAACACCTGCCCGGACCCCCCTGTGGAGTGATCTGTGAGCTCTTTTGAGTCAACTAGAAACCTATCAGTCTTCGCTGTTAGGTAAAAATGCCTCCCAGGCGCCCTCGAACGGGTTCTGAAAAGACCCCAAGAGGCCTCCCAGAGAAGCATCTTGACGACGACCCTGTTTGGCCCCAAGAGCAACACAAGATGCCAACGAGAGGCTTCCTCCTCCGCCCCTTCCTCTTCCTCCTCCTCCTACTTATCTTCATCCTCCTCATCTCCTTCTCATCCTCTCCTCCTCCTCCCCTCCCCTTCCCCATCCTCATCTTCTTCCTCCTCGGCGGCGCCACAATGGCCCCGGGCCCACGGCGAAGCAGTAGCGATCATGCAACATGGGCCGGCGGAATGAGCGAAACGATTGAATAAAATGACCCATTCGGGCGTTAATGCCAAGACTAACGCTCAGGGTCAGGGTGCTAGGGTTAGGATGATACGATTCGTGTGTTTGCTTAGGGCGTAGGTGCAATTGTGTAAAAGGTTCGGGTTTGCATTTTAGGGCTAGCTTGCTGAGAGGTCGGGTGTTTGTGTCAGGGTGCTAGGCTCGCAGTTAATGGTTCGGGTTATTGCTTAGGCTTAGAGTGCCAAGACTCGCATCAGGGTGTTAGGGCTGCGGTGTCAGGTTCTGGGGGTCAGGGTTGGGGTAGTGACTTCGTCGCGCTAGGATGCTCGGGTGCTAGAGCTACGGGGCGGGGGGGGCACTGTTTGTGTTTAAGGTAAAAACGCTAGGGTCGAGGCTAGGGTGCTGGGCTGTGTCAGGGCAGTGGTGGAACTGGTAGGTTGCTGCGATTGGGATCTGTGACGATCGCGACGCGAATGCCGCTCATGGCGGCCCGCGTCGCGGGAGGAAGGGGGGGGGCATAGAAAGATGGGGCAGAGTAGCACGTGGGAGTATGAGGAGTGGCCGCCCTAGTTGGGTGATTGTGGCTTCGTTCTGCCCACCCGACCCAGAACATTGATCAAAACCCGGACTGCGACAGACTGGGTTGCATCGGGTGAGGCTGTGGTCTCTACACCCCGGAAGGGGTACGGAGAGGAGGGGAACGAGGAGGAGAGAGGAGCGAGAGACGAAGAGGAGCTAGATGAGATGAGTGCGACCCCGATGATGACGACGATGGCGATGATGATGATGATGATGATGATGATGATGATGATGATGATGATGATGATGATGATGATGATGATGATGGTGGTGGTGGTGGCGGCAATCCTGATGACGACGACGAGGAGGAGACGCGGCAGAGGACGAGGAACGACGCATTGAAGACCTTCCTCCCGCCTCCTCGCGAAGGGAGGGGCAGGAGAGAGGAGCGCGCGGGAGGAAGGAAGGAAGGCGAGGAGGAGGACGAGTGACTCATCAAATGACCCCCTTCCCTCCTCCTCAGAGGGAGGAAGGAGCAAAAAGGAGAACGCAGATGGGAGGAAGGAACGCCGAGCAACATCGATAACGACGGCAACAAACACAACACAAATAACAACACAACTATGCTTTCGGACAACTTCCACTGCATAGTGATACTATAACTGCTCCTACTTCCATTGCGACACAACAACCGGGAGAGAAAAGGGCAAGGTTCTCCCGAACTCATTGTTTGTCTGGTTTCGTTTAGCTTGGGTGTTTCGGTTTGAAATGTGTGTTGTGTGTAAGCATGTTGCTGTGTTTCGTGTCTTTGTTGAACTCGAAGGCACTCGATGAGAAAAGGGAGGAGGAGGAGAAGGAGGATGACGACGACGACGAGCAAACGATCAATGAAGGTTGTTTGGTATATATGATGTGGGGGTGCTGGGGGTAGGGGGGGCCACACGCATACATATACATATATATATACACATACATACACACGAACCTGCATACATACATACATACATACATGCATGCATACATGCATACATACATGCATACATGCATACATGCATACATGCATACATGCATGCATGCATGCATGCACACATACATACATACCTGCATGCATACATACACACATACATGCATTCATGCATGCATGCATGCATGAATGCATACATACATACATACATACATACATACATGCATACATACATACATATATACATACATACATACATGCATACATACATACATATATACATACATACATACATACATACATACATACATACATACATACATACATACATACATACATATGTACATACACACATACACACATACATGCATACATACATGCATACATACATACATACATACGCACATACACACATACATACACACATGCATACATACATACATACATACATACATACATACATACCTACATAAAACATATATACATATATACACATACGTACATACATATATAAATATATGTATATACATGAATGAGGTATGTGCGCGTGTGTGTATCCGCCACCGTGCCTCCAGGCACGAGGTGGGCGTGTCCTCAAACCCACTGCCGCACCCTCTGAGCTCCACCCATCGCCCCTGAGTACTGTTATTAAGGTCCCCGGGCCCCTCGCCCTCCCATCTCCCCGGGCGCTGCGCGCGTGCCCCTTGGGGGTCTGGCGCGTGCCCCCCGTGGCTTCCCGCGCCCCCTGGGCTCAGGGACTCCTCCTCCTCCTCCTCCTCCTCCTCCTCCTCCCTCCTCCTCCTCCTCCTCCGCCGCCTCCTCCTCCTCCTCCTCCTCCTCCTCCTCCTCCTCCTCCGCCTCCTCCTCCTCCTCCTCCTCCTCCTCCTCCTCCTCCTCCTCTGGTTGTCGCATGAATTCTCGGGCCCGAGAGGGCCCCAAGACGGGCCAAGAGGGCCCCAGGAAGCCCCCAGGACGAGTCGCCGAACGGTCGCTCCAGGACGCCCGAGATGAAAGATGGCTCCCAGACGGCCCAAGAAGCCTCCCCAGGGAGCCCTCTTGGAGGCCTCACAACAGGGCCCAAGAGGCCAAAATCATCGATCGCCCTACAATTTTTGAACGATCGTGGCGTTCTCGAATGTTCGCACGGCCCTAAGAGGGGCCCAAAAGAGAGAACACGAGCCGAACATTCGAGCCTTCCGCCCTACGAGGCCCACAGGAGGCTCCAAGAGGCACCCAGGAGGCCCCGAGAGGCCCCCAATACTAGGCTCGAAAGGGGTCCCAAAAGAGCCATCAAAAGCCGTGCAAACTGCCTCCAGGAGGTCCCCGAGAGGCCTCCCACGAGATCCCAACGAGCATCCAATAGGCTTCACAACCACAACCAACGCACCTTGGCAAGATGGGCCGAAGGCCATTCGATATAAATCAAACTTTAAAAACTGATGTCGTGTCTGAGTCCCTGGCTGCGGACTGGCGGCCTCGACGACCACAACGACGACGGCGAAGGCGACGGCGACGACGACGACGACGAAGACAACGACGACGACGACGACGATGCCGACGAAGACGACGACGATGCCGACTACGACGACGACAACGACCAAGATGTCGACGATGTGGGAAAACTGCGTGTTATCGTCAACTTCCCAATTGAATCGCTAACTAGGTCGCGCTCAACCATCGAAATGCTCAAGATGTAGGCTAATGGTGAGGAGACCCTGCCCCACCCCTCCCCTCCCCTCGAATGCGAGATCCATCCCCCCGCTCCCTCACCCTCTCGATCCTATCATCGCCCCCCTCCCGATCCCGTCCCCACCCCCCTTCGCCCCATCGCCTGCCCCGCGTCTCTCTTCCCTCCCCGAGTAGTAGATGTTGACTACCCGCATGGGAGCGCGAGGGTTGGCGGCGAGCAGAAGGGGGTGGGGGGAGGGGGGAGGGCGTCTTAGAAGAAGGCTGCAACTTAGAAGGCGCCGGCCTTACATCTGTAGATAAGGCCCGCGCCTTCTAAGAAGCAGGGGTGCTTCTAAGAAGCCCTCCCCCCCTCCCCCCTCCCCCCTCTGCGCGTGGCTGAGGGGGGTCAGACTGCCCCCGCGACGCAGGCTGGGCAAGAGAGAGAGGGCCCCGCCCAGCCGGCGTCAGCCTGAGAGGCCAGATCCTCGATCTTCTTCCTCAGCTCCTCGTCCTGAGACGGCGGCCGCTCCCTCGCGTCTCGCACGCGCCGCCGCCCCGGGGCATGCAGAGGAGCCGCAGCCGGCACGCGCACGACTGCGAGGCGCGGAGCTCGACTCGTGTCCGCCGCATGCGGAAAGACGTCCTGGGACCCCAGCGGACGGACGACATGGCCATGTTTCGGCCACGGGGGCCTGCATACAGTCGGGGCTTGAACTAAGGAATCCTAAATAAGGAACGAGGCCCCTTCTTCCCATAAGTTAAACTCAGATTTCCCATGGAAAACCTGGGTAAAACCCAAGGAGCGCTGTAAAACAACTAAGGAACACGGAGCCCCTCCCAAACGGAAAAGGTTCCTTCTTCAGGGCCCCGACTGTATTATCCATGCCCACCGCCTGCCGAGGCCCCCGAAGAGGGGGGCCCCCCAGGCGGGGGCTGTGCACAAAATCCCCTCCCCGCCTCGGAATACTCGCCCGGAAGTCCGCGCGGACCCCTTGTGGGGGGACGAGAAGGTACCGATACCGCTGCGCCCCAGACCTCTCCCGGGGTGCGCTCTGACCAGGATCTCGAGGCGAATGCCGCCGTGGCGACGAGGGCCTCCCAGGAGGCCCACAGAAGGGAAAACCAGGGAGAGAAAGCGGTGCAGTAGGGGCCTGACCACAGGAACCTTCCACGAGAAACCCAACCCTGACACCCCAGGACGTCCATGGATCATTGGTGCTGGAGCGCCACGCCTTCCACAGCCACACCATTGAAACCCAGGAAACCAAGGGCACACTGGAGGCAAGCAGAATGTTTCTTGGCATGGGCCTCCACTGTTTTGGACGCCCGAAATGGGTATGGAAAAATGGGTACAATGCCCAACAACAAATGTTGCCCCAAACCAACAGCGGCCGCTGTTGGGCAAGCGGCCTTCTGTCTGGAATGGACACAGGCCGCGGCGGCGTGCACAGCGAGTCCTGTTCAAAATGAACAAGATCCGCTGTTGGGCATCGTAGCCATTCGTTCCATGCCCATTTCGTTCGTGCAGAGCAGAGTGTTTCTTGGCATGGGCCTCCTCTGTACCCTTTCCTCCTCTGAGGCTGTGGCTCTCCGAGTCTCCGCCCCGGGCCCGAGCGACGACTGCAACCCCCGCCGTGCGCCACCGACGGGAACCGTGCCGCCAGTCTCGGGCGGGCAGCCTCTGTCACGTGCGCTTCCTCCTAACTGTCCCTCCCTCCTCCTTGCTATTCCTCCTCCTCCTCCTCCTCCTCCTCGTCCTCCTCCTCCTCCTCGTCCTCCTCCTCCTCCTCCTCCTCCTCCTCCTCCTCCTCCTCCACCTCCCTCCTCCTCCCCCCCTCCTCCTCCTCCTCCTCCTTCTCGGCCTCAGCCGTCCTCCTCCTCCTCCTCCTCCTCCGTCCTCCTCCCCTCATCCTCCATTCTCCTCCCTCCTCCTCCTGATCACTCCTTCAACTCCACCGTCCTCCTCCTCCTCCTCCTCCTCCTCAAACTCATCCCTTCTCCTCCTCCTGCTCCTGCTCCTGCTCCTGCTCCTGCTCCTCCTCGTGTCCCACGTTGTCCACCCTTATCCCAGCCCCTCCTCCGCCTCCTTCCTCCGCTGTCTCCTCCATCTACCCCCTTCTCCTCCCTCCCTCCGTGCCCTCTCCCTTCCTACAGACCTCCTTCTCAACACGTTCTCCCTTTGCGCAAGGGCGAACAATCGTCTTCCCTCTCCGTCCTCTCGCCAGAACGTTCAGAGGAAGTCGTAGAGTCTAATGGAGAGTAGAGTGGCAAGCCTAAGCACATATGAGCTAGAGTGTAGAGGGGTATGAGTAGAGAGAAGATAGTAGTGGAGAAAGCAGCAAAGGTGAGAGTGGAGAGCAGAAGGGGATAACCAGACGTGAAAGAGAAGAAACTGTGATCTAGACAGTGAATGGATGAGGACGTGCGGTGCACATGAACGTTTGGGACGCATACAGAAAACACACAATGGGTGCATGGAACACAACATCGAGGTCAAGTCGGAAAAAGGGTACATAGATAAGGGTTGGGAGGAGAGCCTGCTATGGGTCGTAGAGCGAAAGCTTAGTTATGAGGTAAAGGGTCTACAACATCGGGGAGAAGATAGCGAGAAAGAAGTGCGGAGTAAAACATTAGCAACAAGGAAGTGGAGGACCGAGGCTGCACGGAGTTGATGGTCAACGTAAGAGGGTGAAGAGTGCACATGCCGTAAGAGGGTCGATCGCGGGGAACACACAGTGACGAGAGAAAAGTAGCCCACCACATGTCGACCTCAGAGCACAGTGCAACGCATGGAGAGCAGGGAACGGGCAGGGCCGTAGGGCAAGCGGACGAGCTCGGGGAGAAGGCGGGGGCAGACGAAAGAAAGGGATCGGTGACGTGCATCCCTGTCCGTCCAACCCCTGGCTCACCCCACCTCATTACAGTTCTATACTTAGGTCGGGCCTGTCCCCCTACAATTTGATTTGAGACGAAAGAAACCACAAGTTGTCAAAGAATACTCCAAACATGCTCAAAAATAGTAAACAAATCGTAAACAAATCATCCCCGTACTACTTTTGGACTATATTTGAATATTTCTCATGTAGGGGGACAAGCCCGCCTTAATTTTATACATCCCTCTCTCTCTCTCTCTCTCGCTCGCTGTGCGTGCCTCTCTCTCTCTCTCTCTTTCCTTCCCTCCCTTCCGCTCTTCCTCTCTGTGTATGTCTCTCTCTCTCTCTCGTTGTGTGGATGCCTATCCCCTCCTCCGGTTCCCTGACACTCTATCGTTCTCCCTATATGTCCCTCTCTTTCCCTCACCACCTTTTGTCATCATCTCTCTCTCTCTCTCGCTCTCTCTCGCTCTCTCTCTCTCTCTCTCTCTCTCTTCCTCTCTCTCTCTCTCTCTCCCTTGCCGTTAGTTACTCTCTAGTCTTAGGTCGAGCATCTCCCCCTACAGGCCGATGTTGGGCGAATCATTAAAGTTACACCAATCTTATTCCAAACTAGCAAAACGAACCATCGTCCCCAGACTATTGTTTGACTATGTTTGAAGATTCTTCCTGTAGTGGGACAGGCCCGGCTTAACTCTATGGCTACCTCTCGCTCGATCCCCCTCTCTCTGCCTCCTCACCTTCCTCGCAACTCCCCATGAAAGCAGCCGTTTGCAAGTGCTGCCCGTGCTGCCAGGGTGGGTGTTTGCGCCGCCCTGGCTTGGTGTCCAAGGGCCAGGGTCCTTCAGCGGCTCGAACTTGTTGAACATAGGTTGGATCACGTTGGGGTATATCTGGCCACCGCGAATGCACGAATGCGCACGCAAAAACAACAAGGACCAAAACACGTGCGGCGCACTTCTGCTGCTATATGACGGCACGTCAGACTTTCACAACGGCAGGTGACGATGTTTGGGGCTACATGCTCGCTCTCTGCGGGTGGTGTAGCCAGTCCTTGGTTTGACGTCTCTTGGCCGCAGCTGCTCCGAACATCAGCGGCAGGACCTGCGCCACTGTACCAACAGGCCTCCGTCGCGGCCACCCTGCGCTCGATGCTGCCCCGATCCCGAGTCTTGCGTGGCTCGGTACTGGCATCGACACTTTGGACGAACTCGTTAGGGGTGTCCCCGACCGTTCTCCACGACCTCGTCGAGCCCATCCGAGTTACGCTCACAACTGCCAGAGTTAGCGGGCAATTTGGCGCGTTCTGGGGCTGCGTCGCGTGACTTCTCCGGAGGCCTCGAGAGCGTTGTTGAAAGCTGCCATCTCCCACTGTGGGCCATCTTTGAGGTCCTTGGGGCTGGTCAGAGTGGCTCCAATGATGGAAATCATTACATAATTATAATGTCAGATGTTTATCACGGTATTCAGCGCTCAGAGCTCAGAGCGTCCAGCCTCCATCCCAAGGCGGCTCCCGAGCAGACCTCGAAGCGGCCCCGATGAAGCTCGGCCACACGCAAGAATAGCCGTACACGCCGGTCGGAAGAAGTGGATAGAAACATGAAGTAGGAGGGCGTTGGAAGTAGATTGGAGTTCCGCCCGCCCCCTGTAGAGGAGGGAAGAGGAACACCGTTCAACTCTTGAAGTAGGAAGGCGTCTACAAAAGATTAGAATCTGGGCATCCCGATATATACCTACTTTCAACGACCGACGTGCAAGCCGGAGTGACCGTAGGTGCCCAGCTTTGGGGGCACGGGGGCCGTGGGAATCCAAGCGCGTCCGCCAGCACGTGGAAGAGCAATACGCGTGCGAGACCCCTGGCAAGCCCCCTGGGACCCCCGGCGGACCCCCAAGATGCCCCAAAAAGGCTGCCAAGAGGCCCATAGGCAGTAGGCTCCCGCAAGGGACCCCTCGAGTACCCCAGGGGGACTTGTGTCCACGACCCAAGCACGGTGGCGACTACCTACAGCGAAATGCCGCTCCAACCGCGGGTGCTTCCGTTAGCCTGTACAGCCACTAGTACCTACCTCTGCGGTATCGGCAATCTCGTTGGTTTTTCGACACCGCCTGGATCGCTTGGCCTCGAGTGATCGAGGCTGCCCGATGGCGCAGATCGTTCAACCACAACGTCCACAGGACACGAACCTACCACACTCGAGCTTCCGGTTCACTGCGCACGCGTGTCGGCGACTCCGAAGGGTGCGGTTTGCGAAAGGGTGTGGCTTGAAAACCGCACCTGGCGCACACCCTGCGGGGCGGGCGTGGACCTCGACAGAGCTCGCCGCTGCGCCCCGAGGAGCCCAACGAGGACCATGTCGTGCCCCCCAAGCCGTAAGTCGGGCGTGTCCTCCTACAGGCGGATTTGGGTGGAAAAAAGAAGAATACCCCCAAATACTCAAAAATAGTCAAGCATAGTCAAAAAATAGTCCCCAGACAAATTTTTGACTATGTTTGAATATTCCCCCTGTAGAGGGGCAGGCCCGACTTAACCCAAGCCCCGACGACCCAGATCGCAAACAACACCACAGCCTAACTACACCCTCGGAAGTCGTCGAACGATGCTCCCTCATCCTCCCTTTCCTCGCACAAGATCTCGACCCACGAACCGGAAAATCCAGGAGAGCCCAGGATCCAAGGATCGAGTCGATAAGTCGGATCGGCCATTGAAATGGATCGGATCGGCGGAAATCGGAAACCGAATCGGGAAAAGCCGAATCGGCGGAAATCGGCAAGCTGACTTGCCTCCAAGGAGAAATCGGGGCCGTCGCATAGAATCGACTCAGGGAATCGAGATGAACCATGAAAGCCGCATCCTCCCTCCCAGCACCCTGGCGACAGGGACGTCGTCTGACCACCCCACCGACACTCCTCCTCCTCCTCCTCCTCCTCCTCCTCCTCCTCCTCCTTCTCCTCATCCTCCACCTCATCCTCCTTCTCGTCCTCCACATCCTCCTCCTGCTCGTCCTGCTCCGCCTCCGCCTCCTCCTGCTCCTCCTGCTCCTCCTCCTCCTTCTCCTCCTCCTCCTCCTGCTCCTCCCCGGCGAGACCGCTCCCGTCCCAAGAGATCGGTGCAAACGAACCGCCCCCGCGGCCAGCGCTCCCGGCAAGCGCCCCTGAGCCCATCCCATGCCCGCGGGAGTGGTCGCCGAGCCGCTGACTGAACTCACGGGCGCCGAAACACAACACGCGGAGACTCTGGAGACTCAGCCTGATCGCGTATCGATATAACACAGCAGGTGGAGGAGGAGGAGGAGGAAGAGGAAGAGGAGGAGGAAGAGGAGAGAAGGGAGGAGGTCCTGCGCGCATGCGGAGGGAGAGGAGGGATGAGGAGGGGGAGGGCGAGAAGGAGGCGGAGGAGGAGGAGGAGTAACTCGTAGAGCTTCCCTTAGCTAGTTGCTGGAAGCTTAAGAGTAATTCCGGGGCGCTGGAGAGCTAGTTGGCAAGAAAAATCTCGACGGACCGTTTGCTGACTTTTGGTCGGTTGAAAATTTCGTTCTCGAAATTCAACAATTCGTTTGAGCTCTAGTATTTGTTCCGTCATATTCGATATTATTCCCGCTCGCCATCTCAATATCAGGTCGATCGGGTAGATACTACGACGAAAAAAAGCACTGCGGCGGGATCGGCCGTTTCGGGTCATCTTGACACGCGGTGACGGTTTTCTGAACATAACTCGAGCTATGGATGAGCTACAGAGCTGATGCGAACACAAACCAATTTATAATCATCAGGCGCGCTTGTCTGTTCAATCCAGAGGTCTGAACTCGGTCTGCTGCTCGAACTAGGTCCGCGAAACTATTCGTATTGTTCGGGTTATCTTGAGAGGTACTCTCGGTTTTCTGTACTTAACTCGGGCTCTAGGGCAGATACCGGGCTGGTAATCACAGAAACCGATTCGGAGACATCAGGCGCGTTCGCCTGTCGCATGCAGAGGTCTTAACTCGGTCTGCTACTCGAGCTGGGTTCGCAGAACTATTCGTATCCCTCGAGTCATCTCGACAGGGACTGACGGTTTTCTGTACTGAACTCGAGCTCTAGGGCAGCTACAGAACTGATACGCACAGAAAAGGATGCAGAATAATCAGGCGCGTTGGTCTGTTGCATCCAGAGGTCTGAACTCGGTCTGCTACTAGGTCAGCGAAACTATTCGTATCGTTCGAGTCATCTTGAGAGGTACTGCCGGTTTTCGCACGTAACTGTGGCTGTACGACAGCTACAGAGCTGATACGCGCAGAAAATGATTCGAAATTATCATGCGCGTTCGTCTGTTGCATCTACAGGTCCGGACTGGGCTTGCTACTCGGGCTAGGTCCGCAAATCTATTCGTATTCTTAGAGTCATCTTCACAGATGTTGTTGTCCATTTTCTGTATTGAACTCGGGCTGCAGGAGAGCTACAGAGCTGGTATGTACAGAAACGATCGAGAATCAGGAGCGTTCGTCTGTTGCATCGAGAGTCTGAACTCGGTCTGCTACCCGAGCTAGGTTCACACAATTATTCGTATTCGACCGATATTTTCTTCCAAATGATGGTGAATTGCTTAGCTGAACTCGAGCGGCCGAAAAATCAGAAGGAAATCGTGAGGCGTGAAGTTTCCCCTAATTGTTTTTTCCTATACGCTGCAGATGAGATAAAAAAACTGAGCACAGCAATGGGATATCACTAGACGCCTGAGATAGGTCTGCTAGCAGCCCGGGCTGAAAAACTATTCGTTCTCTGTTAGATCTTTGGACATAATGTATGGTCAGGAAGCTCTACGAGTTCCCCGGCGGTAAGAAAGGTTGACGGTTTACCGCCGGCGCCCAGTATACTTGCGGGAGCTGGTGAATGCGTGCGAGAAAGCAGGGTGGCAACCCAGCAACATGTAGAGCGGCGAGGAGGAGGATGCTTGCGGGAATGGGTGGACTCGCTGGAAAACGCACAGCGGCAATACGGCAACATGTAGAGCGGCACTTCTCCGTCTCAGCAGAGACAGTTGTCGCCCCGGCGCTGAGCCAAGCGGCGGCAGAGCATCCAATTTGAGGATCCTCCGTGCACGCAAGGTCGCCCGCGGAGTCCTGCGAGCGCGGGGGCGCGGTGAGCGAGGTCGTGGATGCTCCTCTTGCGTGGTTGGCCTGCCCTGCTGATGGGCCTGTTTTCCACCACCACCACCATAAGTTCGAGGGGGGAAGGAGGAGGAGGACGAAGAGGAAAAGGATGATGATGATGATGATGATGATGATGATGATGATGATGAGGAGGAGGAGGAGGAGGAGGAGGAGGAGGAGGAGGAGGAGGAGGAGGAGGCCCCCCTCCCCCTCCAACTTATGGTGGTGATGGTGGTGGAAACCAGGCCCATTACCTGGTGCTGGAGGCAGCGCGCGGGTGGCCTGCCACCACGCCGCGCCTGCGCTGGCCGAGCCCATCCGCGAAGTGCCTGCGCGAAGAGCCCTCGAGTCGTCGTGAGCGCTCTCCGAGTTGAGCAGGGGCCGACCGTCCCGGCATGCCTTGGTGCCGCCACGACGTGCTCCTATAGAACAGACGACTGCTGCAAAGACCAAACTCCATGTTCTCAGGACCTGCAGCTGGCGTGCCAAAGCAAGACGGCATCAGCCAGAAGTGTCCTGCGCACACCTCGTGCAGATCGCACAACACATGTTCGCTGAACCTTCTTCGATGGGTCTATAGGCCCGTCGGGACGCTTCGGCCACTGCTGGACTGAGGACGGAGGTCCTCCTCCTCC